ACTACCATGGGATTAAGCTATGGAAGGAAGAGGGGCCCAAAAAAGTTAGCTAATACTCAAGAATTACCTCCTCCAAGTGCAGGAGTGATGCATCCCAGCAAAGAGGAAGTTGGACAAAAACACCAGAAGGCCTGCATGGATCAACAAGGAACTCCTGGACAAACTCAGGCACAAAAAGGAAGCCTACAGAGGGTGGAAGCAAGGACAGGTAGCCTGGGAGGAATACAGAGAAACTGTCTGAGCAGCCAGGGACCAGGTTAGGAAAGCTAAAGCCCTGATAGAATTAAATCTGGCCAGGAATGTCAAGGGCAACAAGAAAAGCTTCTATAGGTACATGAGTGATATAAGGAAGACAAGGGAAAATGTGGACCCTCTCCATAAGGAAACAGGATTTCTGGTTACCCAGGATATGGAGAAGGCTGAGGTACTCAATGATTTTGCCTCAGTCTTCACGAGCAAGTGCTCCAGCCACATCGCCCAAGTCCCAGGTGGCAAAGGCAGGGACTGGGAGAATGATGAACCACCCACTGTAGGAGCAGGTAAGGTCTGAGACCATCTAAGGAACCTGAGGATGCGTGAGACCATGGGACCTCAGGAGGTGTATTCTCAGGTCCTGAGAGAACTGGCAGATGCCTTTGCTAAGCCACTATCCCTCATATTTGAGAAGTCGTGTCAGTGGGGTGAAGTTCCCACTGACTGGAAAAGGGGAAACATTACCCCCATTTTTAAAAAGTGTAAAAAGGAAGACCCAGGCAACTACAGGCCAGTCAGTCTCACTTCTGTGACTGACAAGATCCTGGAGAAGATCCTCCTGGAAACTACGCTAAGGCACATGGAAAATAAGGTGGTGACTGGGGACAGCCAACATGGCTTCACCAAGGGCAAATTGTGCCTGACAAATTTGGTGGCCTTCTAAGACGGGTTACAGCATCGATGGATAAGGGAAGAGCAACTGATGTCATCTGCCTTGACCTGTGCAAAGCATTTGACACTGTCCCGCACGACTTCCTTGTATCTAAATTGGAGAGACGTGGGTTTGGTGGATGGACCACTCAGTGAATAAGCAGCTGGCTGGATGGTGTCACTCAGAGAGTTGAGGTCAACAGCTCGATGTCCAGCTGGAGACCAGTGACGAGTGGCATTCCACAGGGGTCCATATTGGGACTGGTGCTGTTTAACATCTTTGCTGACAACACGGACAGTGCAACTGAGTGCACCCTCAGCAAGTTTGCCTATGATACCAAGCTGTGTGGTTCAGCCAATACACTGGATAGAGGGGATGCCATCCAGAAGGACACAGGCAGGCTTGAGACTTCGGCCTGTGCAGATCTCATGAAGATCAACAAGGCCAAGTGCAAGGTTCTGCACATAGTTTGGGGCAGTCCAAAGAAAAAAAAATAGACATGGATTGAGAGCAACCCTGAGGAGGATTTGGGGGTGTTGGTTTATGAGAAGCTACACGTGGCTTGGCAATGTGTGGTCACAGCCCAGAAGGCCAACTGTCTCCTGGGCAGCATCAAAAGCAGTGTGGCCAGCAGGTTGAGGGAGGTGATTCTGCCCCTCTACTCTGCTCTGGTGAGACCTCACCTGGAGTCCTGCATCCAGCTCTGGAGACCTTGGCACAAGAAGGACATGGACCTGTTGGAGAGGGTCCAGAGGAGGGCCACAAAAATGATGCGAGAGATGGAACAGCTCTTCTATGAGGAAAGACTGAGAGAGCTGGAGCTGTTCAGCCTGGAGAAGAGAAGGCTGCGTGGACACCTTATAGCAGCCTTGCAGTACCTGAAGGGGGCCTACAAGAAAGCCGGAGAAAGACTTTTTATGAGGGCATGGAGTAATAGGACAAGGGGTAATGGCTTTAAACTGAAAGAGGGGAGATTTCGTTCTGATACAAGAAAGAAATTCTTTACTGTGAGGATGGTGGGGCACTGGAACTTGTTGCCTAGAGAAGCTGTGGATGCCCCCTTCCTGGAAATGTTTAAGGCCAGGCTGGATGGTGCTTTGAGCAACCTGGTCTAGCTGAAGGTGTCCCTGAACGTGGCAGGTGGGGTTGAAACTAGAAGATCTTTAAGGTCCCTTCTAACCCAAATGATTCTATGAATCTATGATTCTATGAATTATTAACTCAACTTTTATAGTCTTGTTTTCATTGCAACCTAGTATAGTCTCACTTTTTTTTTTGAGGGATCAAGTTCTTTCCTGTGGGACTTTATCTGATTTTATTGTCAGATATATTTTATTTCTTAGGGAAACAGACACAGGTTTAATAAGATAGCCTAATTTTCTTTTTTCTTATTGTCCTTGTTTTTATCTATTTACATTAGTTATGAAAATGTATTTTGTTAAAACCATCTGAAGTACTACAGTGTTCTTATCATGTCTTATTGGACAACCTTATGAGAAATTTTTTCTCAGTTCATAAGTAGATCTCTTTTTCCAAAAATATGAACTCAACAGTTCTGAACATCTATTATCCCTAAGCGTTTGCTCATAGCTTTGGTACCCAGGCCCAAATAAATTAATTGACATACGGTTTCAGATAATTACTGGAACTTCACAGAAAATGGATACTGTGACAATATGTAATCATGCTGGCAATGTCTTCCAGCTGTGGAGAAGTGTTTTGAAAATCTTTATTTCATTTAGATTGTGTGTTTGGGGAGTTGGATTTTTTTGAACTATAAGGGGTTTTAAGCTTTTTATACCATATCTATCTTTATTTCAGATGGCATATTTCTTTATATGTGTGTATGAATACAGGAAAGTAGAACTAGCTTCTCGGAAAGAAGCAATCACTAGTATCTTGGACCACAGAAAAGGGCTACTCATGCACTGAAAAATCTTACCACTGATCACCCAGTTTTTAATACCTTTTCTACTGAAAAAGTCATTAAGATGATCTGAGTGAAAATACATCTGTTTAATTTTATTCTTTACAGAATAGTGTTCAACCTGATCTGCTGCAACTGTGAAGGATATAGTTGTGAAACAGAGAACAGCACTGCTGGTTTGCCTTGTCCTTGGTTTTGCACTGTGGGTGAACTGAAATCCTCTGAACAGAGGGGGAGGATAATTCTATCTGTATCACAAACTGTATATTCGTATTACAGGCTTATAGTTTCAAAACCCTGCTAATATTTTGGGAGTTCTTAAAGACAGGGCCCAATTTGGAGCTCCTAACACCTGGTAAAGTAAGAAGGTGTTTAATCTGACTGAAGTATTCAGTTTTTGTTGACCTTTTGCTTTAAATGTTTTTTTCACTGACATTGAATAGTTTGGCTTTGATACAAAATTGGCCTCACTGTTTGGTAACATTCTGTCCACACACTTGAATGTCATTACTCTGATCTTTGTTAAGATAACTAAAATTTTGATTTAGGAAAGCATTATATTATGGTCACTTGTAAAAAGTTACAGAACACTGTCAGAAAACAGCTTCTGTTTTCTTTAGTCTCATTATACAGATTACTCCTTCCCAAGACAACTACAGGAATATAAAGAAAACTATAAATCGATTCTTATTTTAATTTTCTTTTGAAATGTTTTAAAATTTCGCTGTGTAAATAAATTATAACTCAGACTTCTTGTCTAAATATGTCAAGCCAGTAACTGAAGTTACAAGTCCACAAAAAATTTTTCCACAGTCACAGAAGACTGAAAGATGCACATCCCTGCAGTGAAGTGTCTTTGCTACATCTGTCTTTCATGAGATCAGACAGCTTACTGAAATGCTTTTAAGAAAAAATAAATATTTCTATGGCAATAAAATGGCAGCAAGAATGTTCCTTCAATTTAACTATGTCACAAACCACCCAGCCCTAGCCAGGAATGGGGTAACAGGGAAAGTAAGGACAATGAGCTGACAAACTTGAATTAACCTCCATGTTAAGAACTACTCTCAGAACTGAAGTTAGAAAATGTATATAGGATGTGAAAATCTATATATAGGATTTGAAAGAATTAACGCTTGAGAAAGAGGCTCTGGATTCCACTAGTGGAAGCTTTTCAGAAGGCAGCAAAATGAGTTACAGAACATGAAAAAGTATCACTGATGGAATGTAAATTTAGTTTGAAATGCCTTCAAGGAATTTCACTTAAATATATTTCGGCTGTTGTCCCAAAATATTACTTCTCTCTAGATACCTTTTTGTGATATGTTCATTCTGTTACAAGCTAGTAATAAAACTTCCAAAACACTTTTTCTTATGATATGAATTACATACAATAGAAAATGCACTTCAGTTATGCTCATTGACTGAGAATGAGAGATGCATAAGTGAGTGGAGGATACGACCCTGGAGAAACAGAAGATAAATCTCAAAATAGTTGTCACTCCTGTACATTTATGCATTCTGCTGTAATCTGAGTGTAGAAAAAGGGTAACGGTCTTGAAGATGTATCTGTACTTGCAGAAGAGAGCCCATTGTTCATACGTGTGTGTATACATGTGTGTGTGCATGCACTCATATGTGTGCCTGTGTTCATATCTATAAAGGATGAGATACTAAAAATGACAAACAGAAAACCCATCTCTAAAGTAGCATTAACACAATACCAGAATTTATCAATGAAAACAGAGCAGAATAAATATGTCACCTCATTTATTTACCCTTGGAAAATGATTTCCCCAGTCATGCAACTTAATTTCAATTCCATGCTGTTTTCTTCTGCGTTTTGTACCAAATATTTAACAAGATACCTTTTTGGAGAATACTGAAAAAACAGCCCATTACTACTTACAAAACATATTGCAAGATGATATTTCAGTGAGGCAGGATGAACTTCACTTAAAGGTGCAAAATTAGCAAAGGACATACATTGATGTTTTTTTTCTTTTAAGATAAAAATATAGCTTTACAACAAATATGTAAGTCGGGACCAATTCTTTCCATAACAAAGTCAGAAATATTGTCATTGATTTCAATCGTTCCCAGCACTACATTTATCTGTGAGTGAACACAGATGATTATAAAAAAAAGAATTTAACTTCATCAACTTACTTGAAAACTGTATGGCGAATCCAGATTTACTGATATAAAAATCTGTGTCAAACTGGATAGTTACGATGTTGAGAGTACTGTGTATGCCTTCAGGAACAAGGGATCCACTAATTTCTTTGAGTAACATCTCATTCTCAGGTGGACCATCCCAAACTCTTAGAATGTCATGGGATGCCTCAGTATCAAAAGCAAGAAACTGGAGGCTGTAAGAATACAATTATTTCATTATCAGCTTTCATATTACTCAACAACATATCTTTAGCAACAAAACTAAATGAAAAAAGCAAATAAATTTTGATTTCCAAGAGTGTTTTTCCATAATGTTTCACGTCTTTATCACTGGGTGCATAAAAACCCAATACAGAAATGTACTTGAAACAAAAATTCTTTTGCAATTAACAATTTTTTTGCCTACCATGAAGTAAATATATTGGTTCAGCAATTCAAATAATCTATAAGTATCGACATAAATTTTTCAAAAAATATTTTTTTTCTTAAGACAACATTACGTACGGCATTCCAATCAAGACAAATTAAATAGAACTGTAAACTCATGCAGTTAGCCATATAGTGTGAATAAATGTGTAACTAAAAAGAACTACTGAAATATAAGTTTTTTTTAAAAAATGTTGACTCTTCCACTAAACAATTCTGCTGATTCCAGCACTTTTTACTTTGTACATACTCGATCTTGTAACTTTGGCATTAAATTAGCATTCAAATCACATAATTTTTAAACAGATTTCCAGTTAACAGTTTTCATTTATATATATGTTTGAATATAGAAATATGTGATTTAAAAAAAAAAAATCACCAGCGTTTCACAACATTATAATCAATTTTAAAGCTTTATCTTCATCAGACAATGTCTATTAAAAAACACGGTTTCAACAGAAACCTATATATTCAATCTTAGAATGGCCAAAATACTGGCTTTGACCTGCATCCTAAATCTTATATCTTAGATGCCTTCTTTCCCCACTGTACAGGTAAGATTTGGTTATTATATAATCAAAAAGATTTTTCATAAATTTAAGGTTTGTTTTCAGTACCTGACAATATTTCCTGGATCTACTTCAATCACCCACATGCAACGCAGATTGTTGTCATAAGGAAAAGGATATCCAGGAGATAAGATTCTTCCTGATGATTCTCCTTTGAAACGGCCTCCACATTCAGCTGATAAAAAACAACGTTACACTATGCGTTACTTTTAATTCATTACAGATAGTCTCCCATCTAATCATCTGAGCAATCCATTTATACATCTACTCCCTTGTTGAATAAGTAACACAAATAACCTGACTGTGCCCTAAGAATGTAACACAAGATACAAGAATTGAAATGCCTTGGGAAAGGAACCTGTAAAAGTGGTTTTCTTTGAATATTTTTTGTATTTTCCTTTGGCACCTGTGTTTTTCTAATAGTTTATAACACATCATAATAATTAGAAAACATACCATTATATAAAGAAAGGACTATAGACTGTTACTTTAAAAAACAAAGAAAAAAAAAAAACACAAACTGAGAACACCATGGCATCCTAAAGCATTAGAACTAAAGTAAGAAAACTAAATAAATAAGTAAAAAATAAAATATATATTTTTTTAAAAGTAGAAGAAGCACACAAAATAAAAGAAGATTATTCAAAGAGAATATAATCTTTCAGCCTAGAAAAAGAAGTTGTAAAACTTCTTACTCAAAACTTGTCCTCACAGTGAAACTATAGTATTTGTTAGAGGATAACAGATGGTAAGTAGCTCCCTCTTAGATGGCCTCAGCCAGTCACTAGGCAAAACTGAGTATCTCATAATCTTAACAGCTAATCTTTGAGAAAAACTAGTATTTTTTAAAGTAGATCCCTGAGGCTTTTAAAGGCTTCCTATTTTCCTTTCCTCACTTTTAAAGTCCCTTCAATGTTTCCTCTCTTGTGAAGTGCAAAGCCAAAATAATGCTTTGATTAGATCTCTTGGTATAATTACTATGCAGTTTTACTTTGATGTAACATTGCCTGAAATATTTAGTAGGGAGATTTATTACCTTACAATCTGTGAGTTCTGTGATAAAATATCATTGAAATGCTATTCTTGATGGATTTTCTGACATAATAAAAGCAAATTTGCAGAGACAGGTGGCCTTTCATATCTTTTCTAACCACTTTGCCAATCTGTCAATAACTAAATACTTCTATGAAAAAAAAAAATCTTTCATAATTACTTGGCTCAGAGGATAGCATAGTGTATTATTCTTCCAGTAGAGTAAGGATATAAATAGAGTACACTATAAAGAAAAACTTGCTCACTGGCAAACTGAATGAAATTTAAAATTAATTGTGTTGCATCCAGGACCACTGAATGACTGTAAGTTTACAATTTCTAGTTTTCATAAAAGATAACCAGTTTGCTTTTTTATTATGGTTTTAAAGGTTCCCTCTCTCTCCCCAGTAGATTATTTCTGCCTCTTCAGCAAGGTTCCAGCTTCACAGTTTTGCTGGTTGTGAAAGAGCTGTGCAAGTGGTGAATTCTCAGAAAGCAGCATCTTCTCAGACTGCAGTCAGAGCAAAATCCTTTTTATCTTACATCTCTAGACTGCTTACTATGAAGATAATCCTAATTAAGAATCTTAATTTTGCCTCCAAGTGTCAGTGCGAAAGATTCTTCTAAGGATGTGAAGGAAATATATATTATACTACATTTCTTCCTGTAAATTCCATGGATATTATGTTGTATTGTAACATTTACTAGATGTTTAAGAATTATGATTACGATAACTGCTTGAAAACATTTTTGCTTCTGTCTTGTCAATGTCACATTCTTCCATAAAATGATACTAAAACAAGAACAGTAGCATTTTTAAGCCAATTTTAAGCAAATTAAAGTGTCTGTTAACTTACGCTGCTCATAAATATCCAGGAAAGCATCTTATTTGTACATGTCAATGTAAAACATTTCATGTAAAGTATCACTGTCTTCACAAATTCTCCGGGTTTGCCTGAACAGTCTGTAGATCATAAAAGATCTTGTGGTGGGCTGAGACCAAGTTCTTGTAAGCGCAAAACTTGAATGCATACAGCTACTCGACACATAAACAAATACTCTGGAAACAAAGGCCATCAGTGTTGCAGTAATTCTTTTTTTTAAGTTTCCTTTCATAGCAAAGTAGCTTAATTTCAATCTGATTCTAACTACAAGTGAAGGTTGAAAGAAGGATTCCTATAAACCAGAAATGTTAGAAGAGTTATATTGCTGATTCATCTTCACTTCCTGCTATTTAATACATTACTGAATTTGAAGTCTCAGAAATTGACTGCTTTGATCACAGACAAGTAAGAGACGTTAGGACGTATTAAAGAGATATCTAAATATCTCTATGTCCAAACAGAGATATCTAAAAGACGTCTCAGTCCTGTACAAAAAAATGTTGTGATGCAATTTTGTTGTTTTCTTTGAAGAACATTTCTAATCTGAGCATGCTTTTTCTTGCTGATATTGTGCATTTCTTAACCGCCTTTCTGCTTCCCAGTTCTCTTCTAGCCAGTTTCCTCATGTATCATTACTAAGACATCATTAGTCTTTTGCTATGTACTTTTCAGCCCAAGAAGACATCAACTGATGTCTAAGACGTTTTGTAGGATTCATATTGCATCCCTTCAAGAGCATTTTAAAGCATCTGCAGTGATCCTGAACTAACAATAAAACCAGAAGGTTTGTGGAATTCAAGATCATTATTTGTTACCATCATTTAAAGACTTTTTGATTTCTTAAGCTTCTCTAAACTAAATCTCACTTGTGTTATTCAAAATTCTTTTAAAATCTATTTAGCTAAACCTATGCAATCCTCATGTTGGGATGGACGCTACTGCTGATACAGACAACAGCTTTACAGCTGTTTAACTCTTCTCTGAATGCAAATAGCATATTTTATTACTTGGCTATGGGGAAATATCTGATTGAAATAAACAAAACCAATATAAATAATTCCTAAGTTAAATTAAATGACATCATCTATGTACGTTTGTTTGCTTCAGGAAGAACAGTACAAATACCTGGCATTCTGAATCGGACGGATAAGCAACCTCCCTGTAAATAGCAGACTAATAGATATGTTTTGAATAAGATCAATCTAAAACTCAAGAAGTTTATAGTACAGATTGATTCACATTCTAAATAGATTCACTTCTACAGAATATTTTGGAATAATTATAATGTGGTTTTCACAAAGAATCAGGTGGCAGTAGAAAACCTAGGTGCTTAATTCATATAACCTTTTTGAAAGCTAGTGATTTGGGTTGGATGGTTTACCACTACTGAAACAAAAAAAGGATATAAAATATTGAGTATATGCAGCATATTTTCACTTCTAACAAAGGTCCAGATTTAACTCTGGATTTCAGTTTGTTGACATTTTTTGTTAGTTTATATCAGCTCTGAATCTGGTTCACTTCCTAATTCAAAAGTGGCCAACCTATACCTTTTGAGCTGTATGCACATATTTTAGAGAAGGACTGTTGAATAACTAAATCCAGGAGCCTTCCTCCAAACAGCCTCTGTCATGTAGGGGACACAAAACAACAGTGTTCAGCTCCCATCTGTAAGCTATTCTAGCAAACCCCTTCCAATGAATCTTCTAGATTTGAACTATATGAGGTTTTGAAACTTTGCTTAGAATATGAGAAAGTTGAATTCCCACAATTAGTGTAAATAGTGGACAGTACATAATCTAGAAAATAAATTAAATAATAAAAGAATAATTTTAGAAATATTTGCCTTGATCTGTTTTAAAACTAAGCAAGAACTCACCCATATATATATATATATTTGAGTGTCACTACAATGATACACCCCATGATTTTTAATGCTTATAATGGAACAGAAAATGAAATTTGTTGTTCAAACTTTTAATTTCAACTTCCTAGCACCTTCACATTTTATTTGATCTTTTTCACAGAATTACAGAATCAAAGAGTGGTAGGGGTTGGAAGGGACCTCTGCGGGTCATTTAGTCCAACCCCCCTCCCAAAGCAGGGTCACCTACAGCAGGCTGCACAGGACCGCATCCAGGCAGGTCTTGAATATCTCCAGAGAAGGAGACTCCACAACCTCCCTGGGCAGCCTGTTCCAGTGCTCCATCACCCTCAAAGGGAAGAAGTTCTTCCTCATGTTTAGACGGAACTTCCTGTGCTTCAGTTTGTGCCCATTGCCCCTTGTCCTGTC